CCCTCTCTCGCTGTCTCTCTCTCTCTCTCTCTGTCAAATAAATAAATAAAATCTAATAATAATTGAACTTTTAAATAATAGTTAAATAATAAATAATAAATAAGACTTTGAAAATGAAGGCTTAAAATAAAAGCTGTTTTATTTTATTTTATTTTTTAAAAAAATTTATATATTTCAGTGAGAGAGAGAGAAAGGGGGAGGGGCAGAGGAGGAGGGCGAGAGAAACTCAAGCAGACTCTGTGCTGAACGTGGAGCCCAACAGGGGGCTCAGTCCCATGATCCTGAGATCATGACCTGAGCCTAAATCAAGAGTTGCTCCCTTAACTGAGCCACCCAGGCACCTCTAAAAGCCATTTTAAAGTTTTAAAAGTGAGTGAATCTTAGGGAATTTATATGGGATGCCTTGCAATCTATGAACTGTTACAACACCTAGTTAGTATGGAAATACTGTTTTTATGTTAGAAAAATGATTTATGAACCATTTTATTGTTAGAGGCTAAAAGTTTTGGTTAGATTGTATAGTATCCCCTTTAGATACCTAAGTGTCAAACCCAAAATTATCACACTATTATTTAATGGTCTTTTTCCTCCTCTGATGGCTTTTTTCCCTCATGTAAAAGTTACAGCCCATCGAGGCCAGACTCAGCCAAGGATATCTTAATTCTAATATTTCAGTGAGCATTGCAAATAATATGTAATTCTTTTATTGGAGTAAAGCTTTCAGCTGACAATGAAAGTCTTGAAACTAAATGGCATTACTCCATTTTCCCTCATTCTTTAACTAGAAGAGGTGACAGTTTTAAGCGATCTGTGTTTAATGGAGGATTGATCTTCTGAAAGAGTTTTCGTTTTTAGCAAAGCTACTGTGTGAACTTCCTTAGTGATAGATATGTACTGTTTTCCTCTTGATGCTTTATTTTTAGGATTCATTTTATTTGAAAAAGCTTCAGTATGAAATAAGCATAAATTATATACTACATACATATACATACATACATACAAAGACATAGCTCACTGTAATATATAAAACTTTAATATATAGATGAGATGAAATTAATTTCTCTATCAATGTGTTTTGGGATTAGAAGGCCTGTTTGGAAAAGAAAAATGCCTACTTGATTAATCAGGGGACGTCATACATTACCCATAAGTCTTAGTTTATAAAATTCTCAGGCCGTGTGGACAGTATGTTAATCATTTACTTGTATATTCTTACACATTATCTTTGATACATTTTTGGTCTAACCTTCAACCCAGATCAGTTCATTTCAGAAAGCCTACAGCTTTTATGAAGTATTAGAGAGCAAAGCTCTGAGCAACAGAAAGTCTTCTGTTAGCCTGTGACAGAATACTGAGCAATGTGATTTTCTCCCACTACATTGTGTTCTGTACAATTAAACACATTGCTTTCCTTATCTTTAGTTATCAAGCTAAACAAAAATAAATCACTTTCATCTTGGGGCGCCTGGGTGGCTCAGTTGGTTAAGCGACTGCCTTCGGCTCAGGTCATGATCCTGGAGTCCCGGGATTGAGTCCCGCATCGGGCTCCCTGCTCGGCAGGGAGTCTGCTTCTCCCTCTGACCCTCCTCCCTCTCATGCTGTCTCTCGTTCTCTCTGTCTCAAATAAATAAATAAAATCTTTAAAAAAAAAAAAAAAATCACTTTCATCTTTCTGACCCAGGATGGAGTAGGTAGTTATTTTTAAGTTAATTAACAAAATATAGTATTTGTTTAATTGACAACTGACATTGAAACAAGAACCATAGTCTTTGTGGAAGAGGCAGTATGACAACATAAAATAGTTGTTTTACTGTTTTCTTGAAAGCCTTATTTTTTTCCCTTTTTTTTGTTTCTTCTTTTTGGTAGTAAATAGCTTTGTACCAATTTGTAATCTGCATTTTTTTTCTTATTAAAATAAATTGTGGTAAAATGTAATCTTTTTAACATAATAGTTTATCAGGCATTGCTGGTGGGCACTTTTACTGAAGTCTCCCTATCACTAAAACAAAACCTTGTTTTACTTTTTTTAAGCAAGCTCTGTGCCCAGCGTGGGGCCTGAACTAACTACCCAAAGATCAAGAATTGCATGCTCCATGGACCTAGCCAGCCAGGCGCCCCAGACCTTGTTTTACTTTTAAACTAAAAGCAATCAATAGTAATAAAAATTCTAATAATATAGATTTGAAATAACAGTAATCTCTTTCCTATTATGAAAGTCTTTTAAAATTTACATACATGTAATACTGTTTGCATGATTTTACGTATTTTCGTTTTGTTTTTTTTTTTTTTTTTTTAAAGATTTTTATTTATTTATTTGTCAGAGAGAGAGAGCACAAGTAGGGGGAGCAGCAGAGGGAGAGGGAGAAGCAGGCTCCTCACTGAGCAAGGAGCCCGATGTGGGACTTGATCCCAGGATGCCGGGACCATGACCTGAGCCGAAGGCAGATGCTCAACGACTGAGCCACCCAGGCGTCCCTGTATTTTAGTTTTTTTTACTCATTCAATCTTGGCTGTCTTTCTATATTTAGAACATGTAGATTTTTTTTCTTTATTACAGCTGCAGAGTATTTTATTGCTATTTACAGATGTGTCAACATTTATTTACCTTACTATCCACTGATAGATACTAAGGTTTTCTTTTTAAGATTTTATTATTTTTTTAAAGTAATCTCTACACCCCATGTGGGGCTTGAACTTAATTAAACCCTGGGATCAAAAGCCTCATGTTCCACCCACTGAGCTAGCCAGGTGCCCCAATATTAAGGTTTTAAGTTAAAACAATTCTGCAGTAAATTTCCTTTTTTCTTTGTGAGTGGTAACAGATATTTGTAAATTGTCACCCAAGGAATTGCTGGGTCAGTAGACCTTTAAAAATTTGATGTTTTCTAATTGACCTCCAAAAACAGTGTACTAATCATCAGGGTCCACATTTCCTCCCATATTGCTAATACTGGTCGTGTGTATATTTAAATCATTGCTAACCTGGTAGGTAAAAACAAGGGGATCATGTGTATTTCTTGAATTTTGAATAAAGTTGGACACCAGTCTTTTTACAGCTAGCCATTTTTTCTTGCTAACTACTAACACAATTTGTCCGTTTTTCTATATTTTCTTATTTATTGGTCTGAGTTCTTCATAAATCTAGAATTTTAAAATGCTGTATAATATTCAGTGTTGTTATAATATCAATCATATCTTTCTAACATTATGCTGCAGTTAATTTCGTGCATGTATTTTGTTGATTCTGGGTGAATTATTTTCTTAGAACAAACTTCTGGGTATGAAGTTGGGTAAAAAGACTGTGAACTTCCTTGTATTTTCTCAATCTGAAGTAACTTATTTAATATGTAATAGATGTTATTTAATGTATGTAAATATATTTAAGATTGTATTTCAAATGGCTAAGGAAGTAAAAGAAAATCACCTATAATCCTACCACCAAAGACAACCACTGTTAACGGTTTTGCTGTATATCTTTCCAATGTTTTATTTTTATATTGCATTGCCTGTTTTTCTTTTCCTCCTTAACGAATATAGGGAACATCTTTCAATGTCAATAAATAGAGCTATACCACAGCATAATTTTTTGTCTTTTTGCTTTTTTTAATTTGTTAAAATATTATGTATAATACAGAACTTACCATTGTAATAATTTTAAGGGTACAATTCAATGACATTAAGTACATTCATAACTATTAACACTAATCCATCTCCAGAACTTTTTCATTATTCCAAACTGAAACTCTATACCCATTAATAACAGCATAATTTTTATTCCTTTAACTATTCTCCTATTGTAGACATTTAAGTTTTCTACTTAGAGGTAGCATAATATTTTCCTTGTCTGATTATTTCCTCATGACTGCAGTTCTTCTAAGAATCTGTAGCAGTAGATATGTTAAGGACGATTCTTTAAAATTAGTCTTGAATGGCAGTCTTCACCACCCCCCCCCAAACTTATCTTTAATTTTATAATAAAAGTTAAGGTAACTAGGAGGTTACATATAAAAATATAGTTTATGGATGTTTTGATGTTAAATAGCTATTTTTTTTTTTTAAAGATTTTATTTATTTATTTGACAGAGAGAGACAAAGCGAGAGAAGGAACACAAGCAGGGGGAGTGGGAGAGGGAGAAGCAGGCTTCCCGCTGAGCAGGGAACCCAGTGCGGGGCTCGATCCCAGGACCCTGGGATCATGACCTGAGCCAAAGGCAGACGCTTAACGACTGAGCCACTCAGGCGCCCCGTTAAATAGCTATTTTGTAAAAAGATAACTTATATGGAGTAGAGGAATCAAAATCTCTTTCAAAGTCATTGATTTTTGGGGGGGGGTGCCTGGCTGGCTCAGTCCGAAGAGTGTGTGACTCTTGATCTTGGGGTGGTGAGTTCGAGCCCTACGCTGGGTGTAAGAGATTACTAAAAATAAACTTTAAAGTCAGGGGTTTTTCAACAGCTTGAGGTTAAGTGACTTTACTCATTTGAAAGGGTGTGAAAAGGGTGTGCACAGGATGCATCATTTATATGGGGAAGGGTAATCATACATATTCTGCTGTTCTGGTAGAAAAAGGTTAAGAAACTATTACCCATGTTCTATTTTATTTGACTGGTTAGAGATAGTGGGTTTTACTTAACTGGGGTTTTAACAAAATTTTTTAAATGTCAGAATTATAAATTCTTCTAATCAAAGCCTTTGCTTCTCCCTTAGGATTGGCAGCCACCATTTGCATGTGATGTTGACAAACTTCATTTTACCCCACGTATCCAGAGGCTGAATGAATTGGAGGTAATATCTTTACTGTTGTTCTGGTGGACTGTATTCCAGAGGGACTTTCTTCGAAGAATCTGTCACAAATCTAGTGGTTTTAGTGAAGCTAAAATATGGCCAGTCATTGATAATCATGGTAAAACAAATGGCAGTGAGGCCTTTGTAGCAAGCCAGAGAGCATTAAAAACACTGATTTTTGTCAATCATTGTTGGCCTCTTAATTCATTTAAATCCTTCTAAATTTAGGTGACAACCACAAGAATTTAGGTCTTGAAAGGAATGTGCTTTGAGAACCATCTATTGGAAAAGATTTCCAGCTCTAATTTTCTTCCAAATACACATCTTCACTTAGGTTTAATAACACACTTTAATTTCCTAAGGAGGGGTGAGGAATACTTGGGTATTCTTTAGAGAAGAGATGATGTTTCTTCAATCCCTTTGCTACTGAAACCCTAAAGTACAGGGTGAATAAGGCTTGGGTATTGATAACCTAGAAGTAATGTTTACATTAACATTTCGCTAACCTGATTTTAACATTGAATCATGTTTTGCTTTTCTATACAAAACAAGACATTTTTAACTTAAGTGGAACACATGTCCACTGGGATTCTTTGGACATTGGTGGTAGTAGTATCTAGTGTTTGTATTTTCAAGTTGAGCTTGAAAGATAGGAAACTTTGAGGTCTTAGACTGTGTTTGGGAACATCTGAACATTAATCTCAGTTTTGCTCTTGAGCAAGATAAAACTCCTAAAACTGTCTGACTTAAACTTAATTTTCAAGGAGGGGAAAGAAAAATGACAGATTTTTTTTAATGACTTATAGACAACAGTAATAATCTGTTAAGGGAATAACATTTAATTAAGAAAGTTTTCTGGTTTTCTGTTATCTTATCAGGACTCATTAAAATTGATATGGAATCACTGTTGTAAATCTGTTTTGGGATTTGTGTTTGAGAAAATAAGAAAATTTGTGCTTGGAAAGAACAGACCTTTAAAATACCCCAATTGTAAAAAGACCAAGAGGGGCATATAGAAGCTTACTTGTCATATAATTTTAACCAATAACAAAATTGTGCTTATAGTACTCTGTAAGTGAAGGCCTTTTCAGAGTGCCTACTTAAGGAAAGGCTTACTGAGTGCTTAACTCCTTGCTTGACACATGGTAGGGGCTGAATTAAATTTTTGTTGAGTTAATGTATAATTATTTAACCAGCTTTATTTTGTATATTTTTTGGCAGTTTCTCTTTTGAATTTGAAAGTGATATTTCACTTAAATATTCTTTTTTTTTTTTTTTTAAGATTTTATTTATTTTAGAGAGAGAAGGAGAGCATGAGTGGGAGGGGCAGAAGGAGAGAATCTCAAGCAGACTCTGCACTGAGTGCAGAGCCCCATGCAGGGTTTGATCTCACGACCCTGTGATCATGACCTGAGCTGAAAGGAAAAGTCGGATGCTCAACTGACTGAGCCACCCAGGCGCCCCTCACTGTAATATTCTAAGAGTGAAAATACCACACACATAGGTAATAGAAGGGGTTTTAAAATAAGCTAGGTGAGATTAAAATTCATTTCTTTGTCATTCAGGCTCAAACTCGAGTAAAACTGAATTTCTTGGACCAGATTGCAAAGTACTGGGAGTTACAGGGAAGTACTCTGAAAATTCCACATGTGGAGAGGAAGATCTTGGATTTGTTTCAGCTCAATAAGGTAAGAGGCTAACGGCCATCTCCCTCACTTTAGTGCCTTTCTGCCAGCATGAATTTGATCTTCCCCATCTTAAAAAGAAACTTATTGTTTGAAATATATAAAATGAAATTCTCCATTCACTTTAGCAGTAATTGGGCTCTACTTGTCAGGTCTGAAAGCCTTATCTTGTGAAATATCTTGCTGCCACCTTTTGTGTGTGTCATTTTAAAACTTAACAATATTTCTGTAGGGTACTCCTTTCTGTTTTATTACAGTTAAAACAACTGGGGCTTAGGGAGAAAATTGACCAAGCTCTAAAGGCTGAGTCATAATTCAGTATCTGAAGTTCAGGTTCGCTTCAGTGTAAAGCCTACATTCTTTCCCCCAAAATGGTGCCATCTCTCCTCCTTAGTTTATGGAGATTTTGAGGGTCACTGTGTTGGACCAAGTGCTAGGGCTCGTTCTTTGTTTGAGATTTAATTGTTGATCTAGTTCTTCCTCCCTGAAAATCTTGATTGTTCTGGGGAACTGAGAAGTAGCTTTTGGGGGTACAAATGTTTATGGATTACGTTGTCAAAAGCGACCAATTTTCTAGTTTGAAATTAGTAGTGCATATATGTTTTCATTTGACTTGGGAGATGTATTTTTAAAAATTACACAGCCAAGAACATTTGTTCTTGGAGTCATACCTAGGTATGAGGGAATTCGAAGTGATTTCCATATAGGCGTTTCTAATTTCTTCTGCTATTAACAGTTAGTTGCAGAAGAAGGTGGATTTGCAGTTGTTTGCAAGGATAGGAAATGGACCAAAATTGCCACCAAGATGGGATTTGCTCCTGGCAAAGCTGTGGGCTCGCATATCAGAGGGCATTATGAACGAATCCTCAATCCCTACAACTTGTTCCTGTCAGGAGACAGTTTGAGGGTGAGTATTGAGGCCAACTTTAACCTGTTTATTTCACAGCTTATTGGTGTGTTGTCTTTCAGGGTGAATGAAGAGGCCTTAATTAATTCTGTGTGGGGGAGCCTGGGTAGCTCAGTCGTTAGGCGTCTGCCTTCGGCTCAGGTCATGATCCCAGATCCTGGGATCGAGCCCTGCGTCGGGCTCCCTCCTCTGCGGGAAGCCTGCTTCTCCCTCTCCCACTCCCCCTGCTTGTGTTCCCTCTCTCGCTGTGTCTCCCTCTATCAAATAAATAGATAAAATCTTTAAAAAATAATAATAATTCTGTGTGGACGACATTGTTGAGAAGACTCCGTTTTGTGAATTTTTCCTTCGATGTTTGTGTCGTTTTGTTTTGAGAACAGCTGCGCTTAGAAGTTTGTTTTTGGATTGAATAAGGTTGTGGAGGAAATAGCCTTTTGCTATTAGCCTAAGCCGAAGTCTGTATTTAACTTCACTAAAGCTATGTCTTCCTTAAATGACAGGTTGATTATTATCTTGTTACGGTTCATGCTTTTGCATTCACATATTATGGAGAGCATATTCCTAGTTGTCACATGGAAGTACGACCTGTGAAATAACTTGCCTACCTGTTCTTGCCAGCTGAGATTTCCAGGGAGATTTTAAGATAGAACGCTGATATGGGTGAAAGGTAGGGGACTTAATAATGCTGGATAGCTAATGGATCCCTCTTCTAATAGTTCCTGTGTAGCCATGTTTGTTTCCTTATAAAGATGGTATCTGCCAACTTATTCAAATAGGAACTTTTGTTGTAATTAAAGTAAAACTGTATTATAAAATCTTCCTACTTATTTCAAGACCCTGATGGAAAGAATAATATCGTAATCCATTTACACCCTTTGAGTTATTCTAAGGCAGGAGCCGTGAGCCCTATAATTTTAAGAATTGTTACTGTGTTATAGCGAAGTAGAAAGATAATAACATAGTTTCAGAGGGTAAACTACTAATCAAAACTCTGTCTTGATATTATAGACATACCATCTGTAATGCTCAAGTCCTATAGATTTTTATAGCATCACATTTTTCTACCCTTTCTCCCTTCTTGATTCCAGGGGAGCTTTCTTTTCAGCTTAAAAGAACATGACCAGTCTAATATTCAGAAAGTTGTCATTTTTATTTTTATTTATTTATTTATTTATTTGAGAGAGAGAGAGCATGAAAGGGGGGGAGGGTCGGAGGGAGAAGCAGACTCCCTGCCGAGCAGGGAGCCCGATGCGGGACTCGATCCAGGGACTCCAGGATCATGACCTGAGCCGAAGGCAGTCGCTTAACCAACTGAGCCACCCAGGCGCCCGAAAGTTGTCATTTTTAAATATACATGTGTGAATGTTTAATGACCCCAGGGATGAAATTATTTAGACGGTTGTGTGTGGAACCTTTATGCCTCTGTTTTATAGTCAGATCTACATACAGTTGCCTACAGTAGATTTTCTCCTTGTTAACCTTTCTGTTTCAGTGTGGAAGTCACAGTGAGTAAGAGGAAAGAGTCTACCTGCTTTATGGATTGCAACATTTTAAAAAATATCTATATATTTAGGTAGTGTAAGTTTCATAGTTGGAAAGCATGTAAGCATTTATTCAATTGTAATCTGAAAGGAATAGGTATTTAAAGATACCTTTTACAGGGCGCCTGGGTGGCTCAGTTGGTTAAGCGACTGCCTTCGGCTCAGGTCATGATCCCGGACTCCCGGGATCGAGTCACACATCGGGCTCCCTGCTCGGCGGGGAGTCTGCTTCTCCCTCTAACCCTCCCCCCTCTTGCGCTCTCTCTCTCACTCTCTCTCTCTAATAAATAAATTAAAAAAAAAAAAAAAGATACCTTTTACAAACATTACATTTACAACTCAGATAAATACTTCTTGAGGCGCCCGTTGTGGGCCAAGTATGTTCTAGGCACTGATAGGTATTCATTGCAGAAAGCTTAAAAACAAAGGAAAGTGTGATGAAAATAAAATCACTCTTAATCCTCTCACCTGTTTTTTCTTTCAAGGCTATTTTTATGCATATATACACACACTGGGATTGTATTATTCATTTACAGTATTATAACCTGCCTTTTTTCTGCTTAATATATCATGAGCATTTGCCATGTCCTTGAATATTTTTGAAGGTCTAGTTGAATGACTCTGGCATTCCATTTTTATAGCCAGACCTTGATTTCTTCATTGTGGAATGTTATATTTATTATACCGTGATGGCCAGTTTTTGTACCTAATTTTTGGCTCATTTCTGATTTATGAAAATAATTCTTAGAGAAAGGATAACTAGAATACATATTTTTTTTTTTTTTTAAGATTTTATTTATTTCTTTGACAGAGAGAGACACAGCGAGAGAGGGAATACAAGCAGGGGGAGTGGAAGAGGGAGAAGCAGGCCTCCCGCCGAGCAGGGAGCCCGATGCGGGGCTCGATTCCAGGACCCTGGGATCATGACCTGAGCCGAAGGCAGACGCTCAACGACTGAGCCACCCAGGCGCCCCTAGAATACATATATTTTAGAAGAGTGGAAACGCAATACTACCACACACCTAATTAGAATGGCCAAATTCAGAACACTGACAGCACAAAGTCTGGCAAGGACAGCAGAAGTTTTCATTCATTGCTGGCCGGAATGCAAAATGACACAGCTACTCTGGAAGACACTTGGCCATTTCTTAGAAAACTAAACATACTTTGTTACCGTCCAATCCAGCAGTCATGTTCCTTGGTATATACACAAAGGAGTTGAAAACATGTCCACACAGAACCTGCACACAGATGTGTTTTAGCAACTTTATTGCTCTTAATTGCCAAGACTTGAACGCAACCAAGCTGTCCTTCAGTAGGTAAATGGATAAATGAATGGTGGTATATCCAGACAATGGAGTATTATTAGGCATTAAAAAGAAAAGAGATGTAAAAAAAGAAAAAAGAGGTCTCAAGCCATGATAAGACAAGGAGAGGAGCCTTAAATGTATATCACTAAGTGAAAGAACCAACATGAGAAGGCTACTTATACTGTGTGATTCCAAACTTAGTATTCTGGAAGAGGCAAAACTGTAGAAACAGTAAAAAAGATCAGTGGTTGCCAGGGGTTTTGGGGCAGGAGGGAGAGCGGGGAGGGGGGGGTGTGATATTCAGAGCACAGAGGATTGTTAGAGCAGTGAAAATATCCTACATGGCATTATATATTTGTCCAAACCCATAGAATGTACACAAGTGAATCCTAATGTCACCCATAGACTTCATAGGTTTATCACTTGTAACAAATGTATCACTACTCTGGTGGGGGATGGTGACAATGGGGGAGGCTGTGCATGTGGGGGTCCAGGGTGTATAGTAAATCTCCACCTTCATCTCAGCTATGCTGTAAACCTAAAACTTCTCTAAAAAAATAAAGTCTTAATATTAAGAAAAAAAGTGATTCCCAACAAAGGAATTGTTGCAAAAGGGTGAACCGAAGCCTAGAGTAGGTTTTGGGAAACAAGAAAAGTTGAGCAGAGATGTACTGGTGCAGTGGGACAGAGGCTCCACTCCTGTAGTCCCGTGTTTTCTTCTGCTTTTCTTTTTCTTTTTTTTTTTTAAGGTTTATTTATTTTAGAGAAAGAGCAGTGGGGGAGGGAGAGGGAGGGAGAAACTCTTAAGACTCTGCCCTGAGCGTGGAGCCCAATGCCAGGCTTGATCTCATGACCCGGAGATCACAACCTGAGCCAAAAGCAAGAGTTGGACGCTGAACCGACTGTGCCACCCAGGTGCCCCTCTTGTATTCCTGTGTTTTCTGAGTGCCTCAGCGGATTGCTCTGTCTCTGTAAGATGGTGTCCTCATGCTGTGGAATCAGTCACCTCTCAATCCCACTTTCTCAAAGGTTAAAATTAGTCTGCATGTACTAGGAGTGGATACAAAGCAAACACATCAGTTACGTGTTTGGAATTGTGGTTTGGAACAAAATAATAAAGCTTTTTTGGGCACCTGGGTGGCTCAGTCGGTTAAACATCTGCCTTCAGCTCAGGTCATGATCCCAGGGTCCTGGGATTGAGTCCCGCATTAGGCTCCCTGCTCAGCAGGGAGTCTGCTTGTCCCTCTCTCTGTGCCCCTTCCCCGGCTTGTGCTCTCTCTTGCTCACTCTCTCAAATAAAATCTTGAAAAGGGGCGCCTCGGTGGCGCAGTTGGTTGAGCGTCTGCCTTCGGTTCAGGTCACGATCCCAGGGTCCTGGGATTGAGTCCCATCTCGGGCTCCCTGCTCAGCGGGGAGCCTGCTTCTCCTCTCCCCCTGCTTGTGCTCTCTCTCTCTCTCTCTCTGTCAAATAAATAAAATCTTAAACAAACAATAAAGCTCTTCATGTATATTCTAAAAGTTTCTGAGCTTGGTTTTACCTTAGATCTCTAAAGTCCCTGTAGAACAAAGAGACCATAGTTTGTGGAACTACTTAGACTTAGTGAGAGATAGGGACCACATTATATAGTCTGTGAATTTCCTTAAAAAAAAAAAAAAAGATTTATTTATTTTAGGGAGAGAGAGAGTAAGTGAGCACGAGCGGGGGTAGGGGGAGAGGGAGACTCCCCGCTGAGCGCAGGACCCCTCGTGGGGTTCAGTCTCATGACCCTGAGATCATGACCTGAGCTGAAATCAAGACAATGCTTAACTGACTGAGCCACCCAGGTGCTCCTAATCTCTGAATATCTGACCATCCACTTTATTAAATTTCCTTGATTTAGTTCAGTTCGTATCTACATGATCACACATACTTTTAGATCTCAAATAGAAAGTTTATAAAAAACATAAAGAGGTTAATTTAGATGATAGGTTTTATTCCCATCAGCATGCCATCAGCATGCTTTCATTAAATATACTCTAAATGCTTAATTTGAGGACTTGTTACAGAATGGAGGGTGGTATTCCATACTAATTTTGTTAACATTTCCAGACAAATCAATGTATGAGTTTAATTAAAATGAGCAGAATATTTAATATATATAGGTTGTTGTACCAGTTGTAGATTTATTTACTTGTTTAGAATATCAAGTAATCTGTATCAGTTTTTTTATAGTGTATTCTATTTTTTAAATGTTAGAAATAGGTTTTGTTAGATGATTACTCTGCTTTTGTTATTCTTGTTCCCCCTCCCCCCCACCATTCTCTGAATTCTTTCTGCAAATGTTAGGAGGAAGGAGCCAGTAGTGAGACTGTATAGTAGTAATGGTACCCAGAGAGCCAGGAGTTCTAGAAGGGTATTATTTTACTGTGTCTTACTCTAGCATAGATGATATATCATACCTGAAGTGGTTATAACTTGGAACCTGCTTTTAAAAATGCTTCTTGTGATACTCGTGGGTCCTATTACGAAGAAGTGTTACTTACTTGAAATTCATATTAGATTCAGTGGTAATATTTTGATGTTACCGTGTTTTGTTGTGTTGGCATTAAATACCCTCTATCAGCAAGCCTAGAATCAAACTAAAAAATAATCAAAGCAAGAAGAAACTCTTATCTGATCAGAACTGGAAGTTATTGCTGTGGGCTACCTATTAGCCTTTGTCTTGTGAGTTAGACCTTGTAGGAATATGTTGAAGTAAGTGAAAGCACTAATAAGGGAGAACACTTCAGTCAAATTACCTGTTTTCTCAATTCAGGTGATATCTTTGATCACAGAACATTGCTAGTTATATTTGAAACTTCAGGATTCTAAAACGTAGAAAACCTATTGTTTCCTTATTTTATGACTCTAAACACTATAAAAAATCAAATATTCTCAATATGGAAAGTTATTTTGGAAACTTACAAGGATCCTATCTAACAGTTTGAGCCTTCAATTAATTGACAGTCGCAAGCAGGGATAATTGCAAGTGGCTCATGGGGGAGTGCCTTGAGCCTGCTGTGGCCTCGTGTAACCTGATGTCATGTACAGTTAAATGAATTGAAGCAACACCATTCACCTGCTAAAAATTTTTTCAATTAGCAATAATCGCGCCTCGGATAAACCTCATTGGCTACGATACTGCCACTGATTTTTTTAGACTCTTATATGTGTGTGTGTATATGATTGGTAACTGCAGACTTGTGTTTATTTAGATCTTAAAAATTGCAGACCTTTTATGTATCTATGTAAATAACTGTAAAATATACCTTACAAAATACATTGAAATTCTTAGAAAAGGAAGGGAAATTGATTAATAAATTGTGTTTTATTTCTAGTGTTTGCAGAAGCCAAACCTGAGCACAGACACAAAGGACAAGGAGTACAAACCTCACGATATTCCGCAGAGGCAGTCTGTGCAGCCCTCAGAAACCTGCCCCCCAGCCCGACGAGCAAAACGCATGAGAGCAGAGGTGAGAGCCTCATGAGGTTGATTAGACAGAATTCTTGAGCACTTCTACCACTGTCAGTCTGACACTGGATTTCTCTCATGTGTGTGCTCTTCATAGTTTTGAACCTTGTTAATTGCTTTTATATTCTAGCTTTTACATTTGGGGAGACTCTACTGTCAAAGGAGTAAGGGATTGAAGAATTCTTTCTAGGTTTATGCTGCCTGGACAGACAGCTGCTTTATTAACAGAGTTAGGAAGAATAGGCGTTCATTGTGATGGTGTTTGGTTTGCCTGTTACCCTCATGAAGTTAGGCAGTGTTTATTGGGGGTTGAGGCTAGGGAGTAGAGAACTGGGAACTTTTTTTTTTTTTTTCTTCTTGAACAGAGAGGTTAGAAGATAGTGAAAGCTGTTTTTCTCAGAGTTCCTGAAAAGGAGTATGGAATCTATGGGAGACATTTATGCTAAGACAGAAAATAATTAGGCAGCATGGGGGTGGAGGCATTGAATATATAAGATGAAATGAAAGAACATGAGGGATGATCAGGAGAAGTGAACGGATGAGAAAGACAGTTTGCTTCAAGATTTTTCTAATCTGAGAGGTTTCCCTTGGGAAAGGGAAAGTGTACTTTCCTGGTTACCTTGTTTCCATACAGAGATGTGAAGGTTTGGGGTTCTTGCCTAGCTTGATGGACATATAAGTGTTAGGAATCAGTGATAATGTATTAGGAACATCTTAGAGCTGGGAAGCCTCGTTGCATTAATCAGATATCTAAATCAGTCTCTGGTTATTAGTAATTATTGGTCAAGATGAAAAAGAAAATAGCTATTTTGTTTTCTGAGGAAATGGATATAAATAAGGGGATTATTTTTACGGGCGCCTGGGTGGCTCAGTCAGTTAAGTAGCTGCCTTCGGCTTAGGTCATGATCCCGGGGTCCTGGGATCAAGTCCCACATTGGGCTCCCTGCTTGGCAGAGAGCCTGCTTCTCCCTCTCCC